GATAGGGCCACATGTGCGCCACTCTCCTTCAACGTCATCGGTGGCCAATTGACTATGGGGCAAGGAGTGGTCATACACGCATGAAAAAGGGGCTTGCTTGCAAATGTAACATTACGATATATTCGCCCAAAACTTTGGCGCACAAGTAATGTGGGACTAAACCGTGTCACACCTTCCCTAGAAAGGGCAGACAATTTGCACAGGTTCGAACCCTCCCAAAGTCAAAACTTATATTTTTTTATCTGATTATCGTGACTTTCTTGCAGATTACTAGTGAAGGATTAAGCTATCAGAATCTCTAGATCATCGGCAAAAATCTCGTCAATATGATTCACGGAGTATTGTCACTAAAATTGTTGAATGATTTGCGATAAAAAGATCACAAATTCATCGAGTAAGGCATCTCCAATTGATTGACAAATAAGTCATCATCGAGAAGAGGACGATCCACTAGGAGATGAGTTGCCACTTTTTGAGAGAGTACCAAATGTGATGAAGAGCTGCCTCTTGCTGTGCAGACTTGAGGATGAAGCTCCCTAACACACGCTCGACCTCCATCCAGCTCCTCTCTATCGAGTGACAATTGTTAGAGAGTTATAAAGTCGTCATTTTTCTGCTTTACTAGGTGACATCCACCAAAAACAATTCAACGACTCATTTTATTAATCTCTAGACTTTACAAGGAGATCTAGAAATTGTCCATGTCATCTTTGTCTAAGGAGGGCCTTTCAAGTTGTGGACATTACATGACTATCTTCTTGAATACTCAGGATTCTAGTGCATAGCCGCCACGATGTCAGAATTCTATTTTCCTACTTTCAACTTAATTTCTACTTCATTTAGTAATAATTTGTGTGATTTAAATTTATCAAGATATACTTCATTCAATTATAATTCTTTCAGCTTTTACAGATCTTAATTTGATCAATTAAATTATATGTAATCACTTACACAAGAATCACCAGGTGAAACTGTATCTACTTGATTTGCATTCACCGGGTGCTGACATCATCATAACGTCTGCACCTTTATTTTCTTTTTGTAAATTTTAAATATATATTATTTTATTTTTTAATATAAATTTATAAAAAATAGTATTCTTTTATGACAATTCTAAATAATTACTTGATATTATATTATATCCTTGTGATCGACTTAGAAAATTATCACTATTTTTAAAAGTTTTATTAAATTATAATTGATATATTTATTCAGAATTATTTCTAACTATCTAAAAATTTATATTTTCTAATTTTATAAATTTTAAATTAATATGATTTATTATACAATGACTAAGTCACGTTAGAGAGCTTCATCTTTAAGTCCACATAGCAAAAAGAGGCTTTTCATCACATCTGATATACTCTCAAGAAGTAGCAACTCATTTCTCGACAGATTATCTTCTTCTTAATGACAATTTATTCGTCAATTAATCAGAGATGATGTATTCCATAGATTCACAATCATTATATTGTGAATCATTTAACAATTTTAGTAATGATACTTTATGAATCATGTTGACAAGATTTTAGTCAATGATTGAGTGATTCTGATAATTTAATTCTTCACTAGTGATCTACAAGAAAATTTTGATTTAATCAAATACAAATATGAGTTTTAGCTCTAATACAATTTGAACTTTCACTAGTTGTCCACCTACGTAAGAGAGTGAAATAAGTACACTAATACCCTTATAAAGTGATGTCATCAAGGCATCTCCTTTTGATAAATAAGGAGTATTTAAGATACAAAAATTCTTAAAATATTTTAAGGAAAGTATGACTATCAATTTAGCCCCACATTGGTTATATACTGAATTTGGATACTAATATGTAATAATACGAGAATTATGAATCAATGAGTCCCTTTCTTGCGTATGTACAATCACTCCTTGTCCCTTGCCTAATTGGCCACTAGTGACATGAAAAGGGGGTGAGGCACATAGCCCCTTATCACTTCATCTTTAGTTGCTCGAGTCTTTCCTCGTAGCTTTGCTTAACTACACTTCTGACCTACTTGTGGGCTCGACTGGTTGACAAATCCCTCTCTTTTTCTATATTTTTATTTTATTTTATTTTTCATTATTTATCTTAAAAATAAGATTATAAAAATTATAGAAATTCTCATAAAATCACTTAATTAGCCAAAAAATCACATTAATCAACTAAAAGCTACTTTTCACAATTTAGCACAAACATAAGTCTATTTATCATGACTTAAGGCTAAAATTATATTATTTATTAATTATTAACTCATGATAATGAAGACTTATGATTAACCAAAATCATCATATTCTAGTTGAGTTTTCATTTATATAAGTTAATGGCATGTCACTATCTAGATGCTGAATTTGAGACTGAGTTATATGTTTTATTTTTTGAACTCTTTGATGACTTATCCATTTGAGAAAATAAAAAATCATTTAAGTTTATTTACTAAGGCTAAATGTTACATTTCAAAGTTAGTTTAAATATGTGAGCAAAGATAATATCATGACCACAAGTTAGCATATCAATTTAATCATATATATATGTCTTCTTATCAAATGATGATTCCTTGGTAGATATTGATAAACAACCAAGTGATCATCTCATGAAGATATCTTTAGATATTAAGGATTGACACCTTTGATTCGATCTTTAATCATAATATTATGAAATCAATAAATATGGCTACTTTCATATCATATTGAAAATGTTGAATATTTAATGTAAATCTGTGATATATAAAATTAACTTTTAATAGAATCAATAAATATTCACCTGTAATATCAAAAAAAAGGCATCAATAATAGTGAAATTTTTATTGTACCTAATATTTTTTTTTTTTTCAATCTTCATTTCCTTTTCTCCTAATGGTCTAACAAACCCAATTTCCTCTCAATTTATTTTGCCTATATATGGTTTTAATAAACTAATCTATTTTGATTTGACTATTATTAAATTTTTACTAGTAGGTCTTCATTTCCTCACTTTCTTTATGCAAAGATTTCATATCCTAATTGTCAACAACAACAGTTTCTTTGTTAATATTATCCAATTGTGACCAAAGTTCAATATTTTCCTACAACAAATCATAAAGTTTTTATTTCTAATCGCCAGCTGCAGAATCCCTGAGGGAAGGAAGGTATTCGTCAACGCGTGGGCTATACACAGGGACACTCGAGTATGGGAGGACGCCTCCAAGTTTAAGCCGGAGAGATTCCTGAGCGAAGCAGGCATAGTGGATTACAGCGGCAACAAATTCCGCTACCACCCTTTCGGAACCGGCAGAAGGATCTGCCCCGGCATCTCGCTGGCGGACAGGATGGTGAAGTCCACTCTAGCGTCGCTGCTGCACTTGTAGACTGGGCTCTGCCGCCGGGGGAGGCGGCGGCGCTGGATCTCGACGAGAAGTTTGGGCTTGTGATGAGAAAGGAGAAGGCCCTCGTCGCCGTCCCCACCCCGAGATAAGCGCTTCCTCCGGATTCCGTGTCAAACCGATATTACCCCGTGTAGCATTCCAAATAAGAGCATTGTTGCCTCCGATGTTACAGCCATTTCGTACAATGGTGAGGATTAAATATCGACTTAACAAAATATGAAAAGAATACGGAAAAATTACTTGTTTCAGAGAAATCCTTTGGAAGTTTATGAAGAAACAGTCGACATACTCCCGAGTCAAATAGCTATTCAGCAGACTCATGAAAATCGCGGAATAGGGACCCTGACTGAACTCGACTGATTTATGGGAAGCATGTCATCTGCAACCAGGTTTACAAAACCGCCAACGACGTTGCGAATGACTTTTGTATGAGACTCAGGTTTCCTGGCGAGCTGCTAGCTTTAATAAATTCGTGGGCACGAGACGCTGACGGCAGGGGAGGTCATCAGGAGCCGCAAGAGTTCTCCTGTAGAGAAGGATGAGGAATGCATACAGATTAGGCTGCCTCCCTATGCTCTTCTCCCCGGGGACATGGCGGAGAGAGTAGCAGAAATGGCATTCAACGAGCTGGGTCGCCAATCATCTTCTCCCCCTTCCCCTCCATTGTCCCTGCATCTTCTTTCATCGAATAAACTGCTGCTACTACTTAATCTTGCTCTGTTTTGAATGCAGCCGGTTGCGGTGGACGGCTGCTTCACCATGATGATAGTGGGACCGTTCGGTGAGACGGATTACGCCTTCTGACTGTATCCTCAGTTCTTCTGGGAGACTCGCGTTCTTGGCCACCTGCTCTTGCTGGACACGCAGGCGCTCGGTCTATCTGGTCGTCGGATCAGTTATTTCTTCGACGAGAAGGGAGCGCCGTCTTCCTTCTCCATTATTTATACGAAGAAACGCCCTTCAATACCCAATAAATTGAAGATCTCCCTGAACTCTTTTTTTTTCCCCTTCTTGCAATATCCAGCCAGGGAACTTCTCACTTGTGAGAGTGGATTCTTCCATAAGATCTACATCTGTAGGATCTACATCTGTAGCGTTGGAAAACCTCTTCCGGGAGGAGATTAGGTGGAGCTCTCTACTGCAGCGAATGCTCTTTCCTCCGCGCAGCTCTTCCTGCAAATGTTCATCGCAGGTACAGAGTCCTCATGCTCGAGATGGAGAGGCCCCTGAGCGAGGAAGGCCTGCCTCGGTATCAGAGGGAAGAAGGCCTTCCTCTTCTACCTTTTCCGTTCGGGGATGGAAGAAGGATTTGAGCGGGATCTGATTTTAGCACCACTGAAAATAATTGAACTAAAAATATAACAAGCCGGAACATCATGAAAATTTCCAGCAGTAGATTCTGTATTCACCGACCAAGCAAAATCCACGTGATCTTTTCTTCTGGAAAATAATGGAACACGTGTAAGTCAAACGCTTCCTCCACAAAACTTTTTGTGGCTGGCCTCCATTTGACTTGCTCGAAAAATAGTCTCGCTTGGATCAAGGCATCCCTTGGGCATGCCTCCTTGTCCTCGAGATCTCGTCGCCGCTGTTTCCAAAGGAGCAGAGGCAACATAGGAGGTCTTTGTTGGTCCAGGATGACGCTCAATACGTTGTCCTGGTGGAGGAATGGAGAAGAGGATGAATCGAAGAGCTCTGCTTCCTCAAGCCTCATGGCCGTCCTGGCCTCAGTACTCGCCGTGTCCATCGTCTTTTACTTGTTCAGGAGGACGAAGAACGGAGCCCGTCTTCTGCCTCCGGGACCCCGAGGGTTGCCGCTACTGGGAAGCCTCCCTTTCCTCGGATCCGATCTCCACGTGAGCTTCGCGGAGCTCGCACGCACCTACGGCCCTGTCATGAGCCTCCGCCTCGGCGCGAAGCTCTGCATCGTCCTAAGTTCTCCCGAGACCGTGAAGGAGGCCCTTAGGGACCAAGACGCCATCTTCGCCAACCACGACGGCCCCGTGGTGGCGCTCGTCCAAACCTACGGCGGTAAGGACATGACCTGGGCGCCCTACGGGCCTCAGTGGCGCATGCTCCGAAAGGTGACCATGCGGCAGCTGCTCAGCCCGGCCACCATCGACGGCCTCTCCGTCATGCGCCAGGGCGAGATTTGGAGGATGGTGGAGGAAATCCGAGGGAAAGCAGGCCAGCCCGTGAATCTGCGCGAGCTGGTGTCCGCCGCGACATTCAACGTGACGATGGTGATGCTGTGGGGGGCCTCATTGGCGCATAAAGGGGAGGAGAGGGACGCCCTTGGGAGGGAGTTCGGAAAGGCCGTGGAAGACATGGTGGACCTGTTGGGCGCCCCCAACATCTCTGATTTCTACCCTGCCCTAGCCTGGCTCGACCTGCAGGGTCTGGTGCGGCGGATGCGAAGATTCCTCTTATTGGCCGACCGCATCTTCAATTCCGTCATCGAGGAGCGGTTGATGATGATGGAGAGCTGTCGAGAGGGAGACCCGGCGGCGGCCATGGATAAGAAGAACAGGGATTTCCTGCAGGTGATGTTGGACCTCGTACAGAACCCTGACCCCCAAGCGCCCATGACCATGGACAATACGAAGGGCTTGCTCCAGGTGACCTCCTCATCATCCTCTCCTTGACCAAAAATTTTGTTCGACATCTTTTAAATATTCAATTAAAAAATGCTTCCTGCAGAACATCTTAATACACTTGATTGCTAAGTTGGGCCTATGATACTCAAATTGATAATACCCCTTGCTCGATGCTCACCTTTGTGTGAAACCGGGCCGACAGGACCTGGTGGCCGGGGGGACAGATACCACGTCGACGACGGTGGAGTGGGCCATGGCCGAGCTTCTCAACGACCCCGAGAGAATGAAGACAACACAAGCGGAGATTGCCGCTGTGGTCGGGGAGGGCAACGCCGTCGAAGAAGTTCACCTCCCCCGCTTGCGGTACCTCGACACCGTGGTCCGGGAGACCCTCCGCCTCCACCCAGTTCTGCCTCTGTTGGTGCCCCGGCGCCCCAGCACCACCTGCACTGTCGCCGGCTACAGAATCCCTGAAGGAACCAAGGTATTCGTCAACGTGTGGGCTATACACAGGGACCCTCAAGTATGGGAGAACGCCTCCGAGTTCAAGCCGGAGAGATTCCTGCACGAAGCAGGCACAGTGGATTACAGCGGCAACACATTCCGCTACCTCCCTTTCGGAACCGGCAGAAGGATCTGCCCCGGCATCTCGCTGGCGGAGAGGATGGTGATGTTCATTCTTGCATCGCTGCTGCACTCGGCAGACTGGACTCTGCCGGCGGGGGTGGCCCCTGATCTCAACGAGAAGTTTGGGCTTGTGATGAGAAAGGAGAAGGCCCTCGTCGCCGTCCCCAACCCGCGATAAGCGCTTCCTCCGGATTCTGTGTCAAAACTGATACTACCACCTGTAGCATTCCAAATAAGAGCGTTGTTGCCTCCGATGTTAAAGCCATTTCGTACAATGGTGGGCATTAAATATAGGCTTAACGAAATATGAAAAGAATATGGAGAAATTACTTGTTTCCGAGAAATCCTTCTCAAGATTATTAACAAATTCGGATAGAGATCGTACCCCACGAATGAGAAGAAAAACTAACCGCGTGGATCTCTTTTCTAAAGCGAAGATGGTACCACTTCATTCTATTATTCTTGAACAGGGCGCCCCTCGTCGTTCCAAGCCCTTCCCCCCGCCCTTCTTCCTGAAATTCAAGATTCAATGACGGCAGATGTTAACCCATCTTTTCTCTGTTTCTCTCCATCAGCCCCTCCGAAAATTTCGATACACCCAATTACCGTCTCTTGTCCTTTGCGACTCGTTTTGCTGGGACTGATATTTATCGCCCACCAGGACAATTGACTTAGATACCTTCAAAATATATGAGGGAAAGTCAAAGCTTTCCTCCACCGCCAGCTGCCGTCCGATCTCTTCTGCAGTCCTTTGCGCATTCAAATCCTACTGACTGCCCGGACAATCATGCCAGATTGACGGAGAGTCTACACCTGCCGTCCGAACTTTCTTCATCGCCGTTCTTTCCCTCACTACGCCTGGCCTACGCGATTATTTCAGGATATTGGCTTTTAAATCGTTTTATCTGTGCTTTCTTAAAGCTCAATCTTAGCCCTTGTGAATGCGAACCAGTATGTATGAAATCTAAATGGAGCTGGTCTGCACAGGGCATGGTTATGGGAAGTGGGTACTTGGCCCAAATAATTTTATATTTTCAATCTCTTGCCCCATCCGCGTTGGTAACAATGAATGGATTAGACCCAGCCACCACTTAGCAGTTGCATGTAATTAAAAATATACTGAGATTCTTGATATAATATCAGGGTTTATAATCTAGTTCAGAAGTTGGTAAAATTGGTTGGACCGATCTACTAGTAGATTTTACGGCCTTTAATGATGCGATGATAAGCTTGGGATGAGCTTATGAAATTAATGAGAATGTTTTTACAGCTAGTGGCCTGCACTTCCTTTACATTTGAATCCCTTTGTGACACCCCTCGTCACAAGGAGCCTATGGCGTTATTTGAAGTTATTGGGCCTTTAATCACTTTTTTTATTAAAACCAATCTTAGCCCTATAAATGGAAACCATTCTGCATAATATATTTCTCCTTGGTTTTCTAAATATTTAAATAGAATGCATATGGAGAATGGTGTTTTTAGTGAGACATTTATGTGAAGTAACTAACTGGCCCACACAACTTAAATTTAAATATTTAAGTTGTGTGGATTCACCTCAAGCAACCATTCAATAATAGCATGTGATAGAACGTATTCTAAGATTTGTTGGTCTCTTTGAGGCTAGGCTAAGAGCAGAGGAGATGGGGATTTGAATCTATTATTCTGAAGTTAGTCTTAATCTATGTATAACAATGGATTTGATGTGTCTAGATGTTATGTATTTAGTAGATGTTTTAGAGTTGGGCAAGACACCAATTTTATAGTGGTTCGGTCATCCCGCCATCCAATACGCATCAAAACGGCTGATTTTCAAGCATCAGTAACCTTTCACAACATGGCTGTAACCTAAATATCTAGGTTCTGGTAACCTCTTAATCTATTGCAGACACAATATATCCCAACCTAAAGTTATCTAGTGATCAATAAACACATTTTTTTCTTGATGCTTGATTTGACTTACGGTATAGAAGAAGATGCTAGGGTACTAGAGAACCCATGAAAACCTCATTGAACTCTGACTCTTAGCTGAACATTCTTGTAGGAAGAAAGCTCGATTGTTGAGTGATCTCATCAATGAGTAGGAAGCCAAATATTTGATAATCGACAGTAACATCTCTCATATGAGGTAGAGGGAAAGAGGAGAAATAGTGAAACCGTCCACCCCTTTTTTTTCCTTTGATTTATGTTGACTTAATAGGGCCAATAAGCTACTTCATATATCTTGGCTCAATTGGGTGGACCGTCCCTTGATGTTTCGGCCGCGCTCTTGTTTGGGCCTCGAAAATTCTTTGTTGTTTGGGATACGCTCTTATTATGGCCTCAACAGTTCTTCGCTCTTTGGGTTGCACTCTTTTTTGGGCCTCAACACTTTAGATTTGGCCTGCAGTGTATTGGCCCATAAAGTTTCATCTCGTATTGGCCCACGTTTATTCGGGGTCTAGTTTTTGGACCAAACAGCCCACTTAACAAATCGAGCCATTTAGGGCTCAATGGTCTCATAATACTGGGCCAAGCCTTCTGGCCTAATCAGCCTGTGCCATACCAGGGCACCTGTGAACGTCACTGGGTTGTGTCTGGAAGATTAACCACAGAAAAATATATACCTAAACATTATAAAACTTTACAAAATTAAACATGTATATTTCCGAAATTTGATCATAATTCTTAACCTTATTCTCTTTCAAGCGCTTAAAGAATTAGTTTCACATCCAAATCAGCCATTTAACTCTTTTCACTCACTAGTATGCTTAAGTCACTCTTTAAAGCATATGTTTCAATTGGTGATTTAGTTTTTAATTTTATGATTCTATTCGAGGTGAATTAACTCATTTATCCTTCCATATATTCAAAACTAATTCAATCCAATAAATTCAATAAAATATTTATATAGAAGATATCAAGCACTAGAACTTAGATAAGTGGATAAACTTTCTTTGGATATATCTACTTTTAGAACTTACTACCTCTAATGATTTTACTATAAGCTTGGAATGATCCCAGGAAATTAATGTGAACATTTTTACAACTAACAGTTGACGTTCCCCTACATTTAGATCCAATTGTTACACCCCCTTGTAGAGAGAGAGGAATAAGGTCCCAAATGTTGGACCTTGTTACTCAGATGAGGTCAAGTTCATGTGTGGCTCAGGTGGATGGCACCATCCAAGACAAAGTGAGGTTCACAAGTGGTACCCATAAAACATAGAACTTTATAAGCATAGTATATGAGAGCTGTGCACTAGCACAATATAACACATTGGTATAGCATATCATGTACAAAGTCAAAAAAAAGTTTGCTCGTGGTAGTACATATGATTTGGGCAAACATTCCCACTAGAAATAAACATTGTCTAAATAAAGTTATTAAGAACCTCTTAGACCACATGGAGATTAATGCGACCTAATTATTGTATAATAAATCACATAAATTTTAAAATTATAAAACTAAATAATCTTAATTTTAAAGTTTTTTTAAAAAAATTTAAAAAATACATCAATTATAATTTGGTAAAATGTTCAATACTAAAAAAGTTTTAGGTTGATCATAGGGATGTAATATAATATTGGATAATATTTTAAATTTTTCTACAAATAATATAATTTGTTATGATTTATAGACTAAATAATAAATATATAATATAAAAAAAATCAAGAAAAAATAAATTAGAGTGCAAAATTATGATAATGTCAATGGCCCAACAAATGTGAATCTAACAGAAATAGAGTTTCATCTAATCATTTTTATGTAAGTGATTATTGATGGATCAATTAGTCAAATTAAAATATGTAAAAACTAGAAGAATTATAATTGAATAAACCATATTTTCAAAACTTGAAATCACTAAAACTCACTAAATTAAGTAGAAATTAAGTTAAAAATAGGAAAAGTAAAGTTCTAGCCTTGTGAGAGCAATTGTCAAAATTCTATTTTTTGGAAGAATTATTGAATGATGTGTATAGCCTCAAAGGCTCTCTTTGGACATGGATGACTTATATATTCTTTAGATCTCTTATCGAATTTCAGAAAAGAATAATAAAAGTTAAACTAGTTGAAAATGGTAAAACAAAGTTACAATGTCACAGTGGCAATGTGTCAAAATCTTGAGCATTCAAGAGTGACTATTGTACAATATTTATAGCCTCAAAGGCTCTTCTTAGATATGAATGACATAGAAAATATCTAGATCTTCTTGTGAAGTCTAGAAAATAATGAGGTGGCTTAATAAATTATCTCCAATAGGTATCACCTAATAGAGTAGAAAAGGACTTTGTAGATCTTTAATGGTTGTCACTTGACAGAAATAAGTTGGATGGAAGTAAGGCATGTTTTAAGGAGCTTCATTTTCAAGTTTGTATATTAAGAGGAGGCTTTTTATTATCTTTGGTATGCTCTCAAGAGGTGATGACTCGTCTCTTAACAGATTATCTTCTTCTCGACAACTTGTTCATCAATCAATTAGAGATCATATACTAAATAGATTTTTAATCTTTCATCTAGAATTATTTTATAATTTTAGTTAATAGCATTTTTATTGATGGTTAATCAATTTTGTCAGCTTAATTGTTGACATATAATTTATAAAAAAATATAATTTAATTAGATAAAATATGAGTTTTTGTTCGATGAGATTCAAACACTTTTTAGTCATTCACTTACATGAGAGAGTAAAAAATGTACTCAAATATCCTTATAAAGTGACATTATAGAGGTATTTCCTTCTAATAAATAAGGGGTTATTTTAAGTATTATTAAAAATTTGTAGTGAAGTTGTGATGCAAATTTAGTTTGAGTTTTGAGATGGATGTACAGAAACACAAGAACGTGTGATTAATAAGCCTCCCTCTCATGTGTGTATAACCATTCCTTACCCCACACCAAACTAGCTACTAGTGACATGGAAGGGGAGTGACGCACATGTGTCCCCCCATAGTTCTTTAGCCGAGTGAGCCCTTGCTCATGGCTTCACTTGACTGTGCTTCTGACCTACTTATGGGCCTAGTTGGCTAGCAAGTCCACCCTTTTTTATATATATTTTTATTTTATTTTATTTTTTAGTATTTATTTTAAAAATATGATTATAAAAAATTATATAAATTCACACAAAATCACATAATTAGTCAAAAATTCACATTAACTAACTAAAAATCACTTTTCATAACTTAACATAAATATAAGTC